AACACAAGAGCTGCGTGCCTTCCTAACACTTTCAGTTAAAGGATTTCACATACACTCAAAATTGCAGAGATAGCAGGGATAGTGCAGGAATACAGCAGTTGTCTGGGAAACAAGAAATCTGGGTTCCAGTCTTAGCTCCGCCTTGATTTCTTGAGTGGCTTTGGCCAAGTGAGTTCCCATCTGGTGGCCTCAGTTTTACCATCTGTACAAGGAAGGGTTGGATCAGATGGTCTCAGAATCCATTTTGGCACTGAACATCTATGTTTCTGTCTCTGAAGCAGAGCTAGGAGAAGAGTTCATGAAACATAAATTAAAACAGCTGGATGAATCAGGCCAGCATGTTCTGAAAGGCTGAACTTCCATATTCAGTCTTCTTCCACTGAAGAGTTTCAACCAACTGCTGGTACTAGGTTTCCTGAGCTGGAAGACAAGTCACTTTCTCTCACATTAGCCTTAGGCTGGCTTTTTCCATGTATTGTATTTTTTCAGCTTCTCAACACCCCAGTGAGCAGCTATGAGGATCATCATCCCCACTTTACAGATGGAGAATTTTGAGCCCTTAGAAAGGTTAGGTCAGTGCCAAGGTCGCCTAGCTGGTAAATGCAAGGCCGGGACTACAAGGGCATCTGAATCCAGAGGGTGTGCTTTCAGCGATACTGGCTGCCAGCAGACCCATGTGTGGGCCCTCTCTGCCACCTGTGTGTCCCCTGGGAGAAGGAGAGCCAGGGAATGAGAAGTGCCCTGATCTGGTGAGTGGTGAGGGGGCTGGGCCCCAGACACTGCCCTCCTACAAAGCAGGATCGAGTCTACGATGGATTCAGCAGACATCTCCTGAGGACTTGCCAGGTCAAGGCACCAGTGGTCCCCTGGTCAGGCAGGGAGTCAGACCTGGGGAGTCAGAACCCACCAGGGCAGGTGGGGGCATGGGAGGGGCTGAGACAGCTGTACCTCCTCCAGCCTCCTTGCAGTTTCCTTGGTGGGGCCTGCAGGGCCCAGGGAGGGGAGGACCTGTCTGGCCTGTTAACAGGACAGTTAGCTGGCCCTATGGCACAGCCAGTTTTGCCAATCCCTGACCCCTGGCTGAGGGAAAAACTAAAACAGGAAGGCTCCAATTCTGCTCTTTAATGGGGGGTGTTCATTTTTCATTATCCCCTTTCTTGGTGCCACTCCCACAGCTGTCCTTAGGCCCAGATGGACAAAGAATATAAAGCTCTGAGGATGAGTTGGAAGGTGTAACTCTTCAACCACAGTGTCTGAGGGCAATCCTATGTTCCCTGGTTCCTAAGAACCTTGGAGAAATTTCTGGCCTGGTCCCTCCCACTCTCCCGGCTTCAGAGACAGAGCTTAGAAAAAAATTTCTCAGAAAAAACACAAAGACGGCTCTGGCCAAATCGCTTTTTTAAAGCCATTCTTCATCTACTTCATAATTTTTTCCCTCAGATTGGCCCTGATTAAAAACAAGAAGGAAGAATTATCT